TTTCTTGGGGCTGCAGGTTTCCCATCTCTCTAATTAGGGCCTTGGACAAGCTAGGCCAGGTTCCTTCCAGGTCTAAGAGCGTGTAATTCTATCCACCTGCCTTCAGTCCCAAGCCACCACCCGCTACAGATGGGATTCATAATTCCGGGCTGCACTTAAAATACTTAGCTGGGTTGTGCGGCTGCTGTAAAATAACCTTTAGCTTGCCTTGCAACTTGTTTGGACTTTTATCTAATCACAGAAACAGTTGAGGTGAGTGCTTTAAAAAACGTTTACTATGTAGGAGAGCTTACACTGGAGTGCTTTCTGTGCTGACTGTGGTGACTTACTGGGCATGTTTGCAGGTCTGGGAGATGTTACACAGATGACTGGGGAAACGTTTCCACATGGGGTCATGGACAAGCAGCAGGGAGACGGGAGTGGCAAATGCTTTGTGGGCCAGGGTGATGTGTCAGGAGGGGTTTGGCTCCCAGCTTTGGTTTTCTCATCTGTAGTACAGGATCACACATTTTTTCTAGGGTTGGGTGAGTAGCAAATGCAGCAAAAGTTCTTGCACATATGTGCAGAACACTTAGAGTGGAGCTGGGACATAGTGAGAGCTCTATGAATATCAGATGTTATTATCACCACGAGCTATACGAATATTCTTGGCCTACTTTCCTCTCGTCACAAACATTTTCTTTAGTATTGGGAGGAAAGTCGTTTCTGATTTCAAAGCCCTGGTGACCTGATTCTCCCGGGGAACTTTGGCATCAAGATATGGTGCTGATCCCCAAAGGCAGAGGCAGTGTATTCGTTCATTTTCACGCTGCTGATGAAGACATACCTGAGACTGGGCAATTTACAAAAGAAAGAGGTTTAATGGACTTACAGTTCCACGTGGCTGGGGAGGCCTCACAGTCATGGTAGAAGGCAAGGAGGAGCAAGTCACATCTTTCATGGATGGCAGTGGGCAAAGAGAGGGAGCTTGTGTGGGGAAACTCTCCCTTACAAAACTGTCGGATCTCTTGAGACTTATTCACGATCACGAGACAGCATGGGAAAGACTTGCCCCCATGATTCAGTTACCTCCCACCAGATTCCTCCCACAACACATGGGAATTTAAGATGAGATTTGGGTGAGGACACAACCAAATCATATCAGGCAGAAAGAAGACAGAAGGAAGGGAGGCTCAGGAGCTTCTGACTCCTGGGTATTTGATTAGGGACTAGCTGGACTCAGCCTTTGTTTGGCCCTGAGTCCACCATGGTTTCAACACAGGAAGTTTTACAGCTCTCAACAACCCAAGGTTCCGAGAATGAAACAAACTCTCCTGTGGGCTGGCGTGGTCCTGGGAATTACTGGCTTTTCCAGGGGCCCTGGCTGTGCTCGGGATGAGTTTCCACTGGGGCAATTGTGTCCTGTAAGGCACTCTCTGTGTGGGTGCATCCACCGTGGCCCGTCAGCACCTTGGGGACAGGATCTGAGCTGGGACCTGCAAGTTCTCAGGAGCTTTGTTGGATGAGTGAAAGGGCGAGGGCTACACCTGCCACTCTCCAGGAGATACATGGTCTGGTGCAGCTCTTTCTGAGTGTGGGGCCTGGAAGGTCTTGCCCAGTGCCCCCCACATAGCTGCACCAGCCCCATCCTGAGTTTATGCCTCCTGGGGAGCAGGGTGGGCTTACTGTGAGCAAAGTGCTCCCCACTGTTTGTGCAGCCATTGTGTGATCCCCTGACCCTTGACTCTTGTTGCCTGCAGTGTCATCTGGCAGCAGCGTTTTTTAGGCAGCGCTCTACTGAGGTGCAATTAACATACCATAAAATGTGTCTGTTTTAAGTACATGTCAATGATTTTTAGTAAATTCACAGAGTTGTGTATCCATCACCATCATCTAAATTTAGGACTTTCTCATCAACCTGAAAAGATCCCTTGTGCCTATTTGCAGCTCCTCTCCATTCCCATCCCAGCCCCAGGGAGCCACCCTCTACTTTCTTCCTCTATAGATTTGCCTTTCCTGGATATTTCATATCAATGAAATCATGCAATATGTGGTCTTTTTTCAGCAGCATTATTGATTCATCTCCCTCCTGGTTCTTGGCAGGAAACAATTTGTATTTATGTTTGGAAAGGACCCGGGTCAGGGAGACACAGCTGCTCTTGCTGATATCGGCTGTGACCACACACTTGCCTGGATGGCCCCATCCAGCCCCTCCTGCTCCCCTGCCACTCAGGGGCCATTGGTTCTTGCATCTCTTTCTCCATCCTTGATCTTGCTGCTGAGAATCGGACCCCTGTTTCTGTTTGGTGATGCACAGGTGCCTTCACTCCATGCATCTAGATCAGAACTCATCTGCCCTCTCCTCCTTCTGCATTAGTGAAGAGCATGGTCTTCCTTGGAGGGCAGATTTTTAGGTGGCCCTGTGCTCCTTGGTGGCCCTCTGTGACTTGCTTCTAAACAGTAGTGGGGTCTGTGACTTGCTTCTAAACAACAGAACACAGGGTAGGTGACGGGATGTATGTGATTATATGACTATGTGATAGAGACTATAGTGCTAGTCTTGCTGGGTCTCTCTCTGCCTGCTGGCTCTGAGGAAGCAAGTGGACACATCACTGGACTGGAACTGCGCCTCAGCCTGTTGAAGCTGAGGGTGGCCCCCAGGCAGCAGCCAGCAGAAAAGCCAAAGCTGTTTACAGCTGTGAGGAGCCAAATCCTGCCAACAACCACGAGCATGGGCACATGAGTCCTTCCAGTGAAGCCCTGAGATGAGATCCCTGTTCCAGTTGACACTTCATTTGCAGCCTGGTGAGACCCTAAGCAGTACACCCAGCTGGGCTATGCCTGGACTCCTAACCCACAGAAACGGTGAGATAATCAATGATTGCAGTGGGCTCCTTTCAGTATCGCTGCCCACAGTCTCTCCCAACCCACCTTCCCCCTTCAGTGCCAGTTCCACCCTGATGCCCTGCACACCATCACCTGCAGGAAAGGACAAGGCCCTTACTGTGGCCTATAAGGATGTAACAGCCCAGTCCCAATATCCTCCTCCAGTTTTATCTCTACTCCTCCTGACCACATCCCCATGCTCCGGCCACCCTGAACCACTTGGTCATCCTAAGACAATCTGGGCTTATCCCACCTCTGTGATTTGGCGTCTGCTGTTCTCTCTGCCTAGAATGCTCTTCCATCTCTTCTCAGCCTGAAAAACGTATTCATTCTTCACAACCTCAGATCCAATATCATCTCTTTTCGAAAGCTTCTGTGGATGCCTTAGACAGAAAGAATTTGGACTTTAATTGGTATATTGCTCTTTCCTTGTGTCCACTGATACTGACATTGTATTTTAGTCTGTCCTCCAGTGCCCCCACTGGAGTATGGACAGTGGTTTAAATGTGTTCTTCCAACGTGTCTTCTTTCCCTGGTTCCCCCACTCTAGTGCCAAGCACCTCTGATGTTCAATAAACATCTTTGGAATGAGTCCTGGAGTGAATAGCCAGCTGACCACTTCAATACGTTGAAACAGAACCCCCAGGTGAACCGTGGGCCATGGGCATCCTAACGACCGTTGGTTTGTAGGGAGTTAGGTGTGCAGGTCGGGTGGACGGGGACAGCATGGGAGGTGAGTTTCAAATGTCGGGGTTCACTGGGGTCAGCTTTAGATCTGAAGGTCATGGTCCCTCTCTTACTGAGGCTGTTGCTCTCCCAAGCACAGTGGCCATGAGACCTACAGCCCTTGCTTTTCTTTCTGCTTCAGTGCCCTCCTCCATCCACTGCTGGTGGCCCCAACACGTGGATGACAACTTGATAAAAGTCTCAAACTATATGGAAAGGGTCTGAGATACTGACGAGCACTATCATTAAAATTGTGCCCACTCACCCGATAGATCCCCTTCCCCTCCCTGCGTATTTTCCTCCCCAGCACTCTGGTGTACATGCTTTCTTCATTAATTTGCTTGTTTTCCGTCTCCCCCAGTTAGACTGTAAGCCCCGTGAGGGCAGGCATCTCTCTGTTCCAGTAATTTCTGTATCCGTGTGCCTGGAATGATGTGGAGGGTGCCCATCCCACTGCATAGCTCTCCCTATACCTGGCCGCCTCCCTTCTTGATCTTTCTAAAATTCAAACCTATCATGTCGTCCCTTTGCTTAAACGATTTTATTGTCTTCCCATTCACTTTAGGATGAAGAAAAATAATCTTTACCTCTAAATATGTTTAATTTTATTAACTTATCCCACCCAGATTAAGGTAAAAACAATAACAACAACAACAAACTCTCCTTTTGTCAATTATACTCTAACTCAAATTATCATTCTAGCCCTAACCTAAAGTCTGAGAGAGAGATTTTTGAATTTTTCTTCCTAGAGTTTTTGTTTGTTTGTTTGTTTTTGAGACAGAGTCTCGCTCTGTTGCCCAGGCTGGAGTGCAGTGGTACAATCTCAGATCACTGCAACCTCCATCTCCTGGGTTCAAGTGATTCTTCAGCATCAGCCTCCTGAGTAGCTGGGATTACAGACACCTGCCACTACACCCAACTAATTTTTGTATTTTTAGTAGAGATGGGGTTTTACGCAGGTCCTGGTCTCAAACTCCTGACCTCAGGTGATCCACTCGTCTTGGCTTCCCAAAATGCTGGGATTACATGTGTGAGCCACTGTCCCCGGCCTTCCTAGAGCATTTTTATTTTAGAAAATAATTTCAGTTTATTTTCATAGGTGATATAACGATTAATCCTTAAAGCCTTCTGGCAGATTCATTTCTGGTTATTATAATTTTAGGGGTGAAGAACTGAGAGTGTGGGGATAGGGAGTCTGAGAACCAGATGGTGTTCAAGCAAACTGGGATTTCTTAAATTGGGTGGGATGGGGGGCAGTGGCAGAGGTGGCCGTGGGTCTGGCTGTATAATCCTTCACATGATTGGGTGGGACGGGGGAAGGTGGCAGAGGCGGCCATGGGTCTGGCTGTATAATCCTTCACATGATTGGGTGGCATGGGGGGGCGGTGGAAGAGGCGGCCGTGGGTCTGGCTGTATAATCCTTCACATGGGTCATGATCCTTTGTCAGCCCATTCCTGTGTAATGATGGATGTGGGTGGGCGGGAATGACTTCCCAATATAATTTCTATCCATTTCATTTTCTTTGCAGAGGGAAGAGACAAGCCCCTCCCATTCGCTTCTACTGGGGCTTGTTAAGCCATCGCCTTGGGGGCTGGCTGATCAGCGGCAGCCAGCAGCCAGCGGCTTCGGCAGGCAGGAGAAAGGACAGCCTGTGGCTACTGCAGCCCCACTGCCCGGCCACACTTCATGACGGGAGAGTGCCTTGGGAGGAATGTAAAGGCAAACCGTGTTAGCATCATAGAGCACACTTAATTCTGTATGGGTTGGTATTTGGGGAAGAAATTGAGGACAATTTGGTATTGGACCCTATAACTGGGCAGTGACCAGTATGCATGGCAAAGTCTTAAAGTCAGTGAGTTTTTCAGGATGATTTTCTTTTCTGTCCCTGAGTCAGTGGGATAGAATGGAAATGCCTTGTCTAGGTACTTTAGGGAGCACAGTGTGAAGAAGACAGCCTCCCCTAAGCTAGCACCGCTTGTGTAATTTGTGGTCCTTAGACATTAAAGTGAAGCCCTTTGTCACCAACTGTAGAGCCCCCCCGCCAAAACACCCTCATTTGGGGTTTTTATTCCATTTTAAACCATGAATTGCATGCACTTCCTCCAGTACTGATGTGAGGTTTTTCTGTGTTGGATCAAAACCAAATGCTGCTTTATGTCAACTTCAGGAAGGAAACTGGCAAATGCATGAAGTCAGTCTCCATGGTGCGCTTCCACTCCAGGGACTGTACGAGAGGAAAAAAAGGTGCTTCATATCCCAACCAAAAGTATTCTCTGTCTGAGGATCATTGCCCAAGTATGAAGTAGGAGACTTGTGCAATTCAAAGGCACCCATGCGATGCTCGTGCGAAGCTCTTTTCTCAGCCAGACACGACAGGTATGGAGCCGGCCCTGGGAAGTGGGATCTAGAATGACAACCCCTGGCACAGGGCTAAGGAGCTTTAGGAGTCGTGAAATCTCATTGTATCACTGCAAACAGAAGCTGCATCCCTGCATGGGAAGCATTAGGTCACCTCCCAGGCAGGAGCAAACATTTGGTGGGAAGGACTAGGAGGTTGGCTGCTTGCTCTTCTCTTTCAGCAGTGACATCTCCACCGTGCTTGTCCCACGTCTCCAGAAAGGTGGTTCCAGGTACAAAAGCTCAAGTGGACTGGAGGCTCCCAAAGCTTCTCCCCGTGCCATCTCCCCACTGGCTGCTGGGTCCAGTGGTGGCCGCCCCTTGGGTACTAGGAACTCCTAGTTCTACAATGAGAAGCTGCAAGGTACAGCTGTAAGTTTTGTCCTCATGCTCACCCCCTTATGCTGTCTCCTCCAATAATGCATGTGATTTGGTCTCTACAGGACTCCCAGAGGCCCATGGACTGGAGCTGTTAATGTCCTGCAGATGGGAGCCACTCTCTCGCTGTGATCACCAAGGTACCCAGGGCCTCCGGAGGCCACAAAGAATGGATAATTGCAACCCACAGGCCTCCTTCAGATTTCCTCCAAGCCCTTCTGGTCAGCAAATACTCTATGGCAAGTCTGGGGTTTGGTCTTTACTTCTGGTGCCAATTAACTTCATCTTCCTTTTCTCTTTGGTCCGTGGAATTACTCTGCACTCTTTGCAATGATGTTTAGTAATTCTTATCGACTATGGAGCAGCCTCCTGGGACCCTGCCAGCTGATCTTAAAAAGCCACTTACTGCAGGATTCCCACTGCTTTCCTGGGCCAGGAATTCCTTAACCAAAGGCAAGTTTCACAGGAGATCCTTGAGAAGGTGCCTCATTATTAATATTTTTGTGTTGAAAATGTTCACTGTGGAAGTTGCTTACAAGGTGGGCCAGTGTGTTTGGGAAGAACAGGGTGGGCCTCGAGCAAACTGGGGGGCGGGGTGGGATTCAGACTCTACTCCCTCCACCTTTGTCCTTCCCTCTTCTTCTTCTTGCTCACCTTCGGAACCCCCGGGCCCCCTTCCTGGCTGCAGCCCCTCGGGTCTTCTTCATGCGTTGACACTGAAAGCTCTCTTGTGCTAATTGCTGACTAGGCATGAATGCATGGCAATTGTTGGCTTGTTTCCTCTCCTGGGTCACTTTTTCCTCCTTTCATATTGGGTAGAGCCTTTCATGTCTTAACAAGAGGGAGCCGGTCACATGAGGTTTTGGGTGCACCAGTTGGGTGGGTTCTGAACTTCTGGCCCCCTTCCAAGTCTCAAAGTCTAGTTGACCAAGTGTGTTGGGCCAAGCTGTGCCTGGCTCTGGAACTGCCTCCAAGGAGGGGCATCAGGCTGTGTGGTGGAGACAGTGACCCCTCCAGCCCCTGCTGCTCCAGCTGCAGCTGCAGAGTGTACAAGGGGAGAGTCTCTGGGGGTCACGGGGCTCCATGGGTATATTCAGAAAGATGAAGCACCCTGTGTGATGCACCTGCACCTAGGCTGATGGGGACACCTGCAAGGACAGACTGGGGCATTAAATAGGTGGAGAGAGCTTTGCTTTAGAAAACACACACTGAGAAAGTGCAATTTGCCATCAGGCAGGCTAAGGGGTGTTCCACTTACTACACTTGGAGTCTTTCACCCAAGAACTGATGAAACAGTTCAGGAACAAAACCAGCCAGATACGTTAAGAAGAATGATGCTTACCAACATAGTATGGGGTTTGATGTTGACAACGATTCACTGATGTCTTCCCAGATTCCCTAGATGTAGGGGCAGAACTACCAGGGGAGAGACCATGCTTCTTTGGAGAGATTGAATGGTACTCTCTAGGTCTGGAGCAGCACTGTCCAGGGAACATCACACTGGGAATGTTCTTCCTCTGTGCTGTCCAAGATGGTAGCTGAGCATGCAGTGTGGTTATTGCAACAGAAGAACTGAATGTTGATTTCATTTACTTTTAATTAATTTAAATTTAAATCTGAATGCCCGCGTGTGGCTAGTGGCTACGTGGTGGACAGTGCTGTCTAGACCAGTGTGCAGAGGTCATAGTGGAGGAGGAGCATTGGAGGAAAATGGAGAGGTGACCCTGGAGAGGTGGTGGGAACAGATCGAGAGGACCTTGTAAGGTGTGTGAGCAATTCGAGACTTGTCCCTGGGGATGACAGGAAGCCACTGAAAGGTCTAAGCAGATGAATGAGTACTCAGATTGATAGCTTAAAAGACTTGGCTGGGTGCGGTGGCTCATGCCTGTAATCCCAGCACTTTGGGAGGCCGAGGCGTGCAGATGATGAGGTCAGGAGTTTGAGACCAGCCTGGCCAACATGGTGAAACCCCATCTCTGCTAAAAATACAAAAAGTAGCCAGGCATGTTGGTGGGTGCCTGTAGTCCAGCTACTCGGGAGGCTGAGGCAGGAGAATCGCTTGAAACTGGAAGGCTGAGGTTGCAGTGAGCTGAGACTGTACCACTGCACTCCAGCCTGGGTGAAAGAGCAGAACTCCATCTCAAAACAAAAACAAAAACAAAAACAGAAAACAAAACAAAAAAAAACAAACCTCCCACTCCCCACCCCAACCTGGAGTCCAGGTAGAGAAAGAGTGGGGGCAGGAGGGCAGCCAGAGAAGGCTGTCGTGCGTGGAAACATCCATCCATCTACATGCACACCTACACACATGTGTATGCCAATTGGTACAGAATTGTGGGGAATGCATATTGCCAGGAGCCATGCCAAGCACTCTGCATGCCAGATAATCACACCACCAGCTCCGGGAAAATATTCTGAAGGGAAAGTTGTAGGGGTTTGTGGCCAAGCTATTGATTGGTGAAAGAGGCAGAGAGAGGCACAGAGAGAGACTGAAGATGTCCCTAATGCCTGAAGACGCCTCGAACGCCTGGCTTGCAGGTCTGGGCAGCATCCCTCAGAGGGACGGGGAGGCCATGGAGAGACGCAGATTGAACTACACTGAGTTTGGGTTTCCCCCCCACCCACCCCTGCCACCTTAAGTAAATCTCAGGAGCCCACCTGCCTTGAGCAGACCCCACCCCCAGGTTCCGTATCTCCACCAAGAGATGGGAGGGCAGGCTTCCCAGAACAGGGGGAGGCTGACCCTGGACAGAGGCCGTAACGGCTGGCAGAGGGGTTTCTTCCTACCCAGAAGGAGTGCTCCTCTGCCCCCGGCATTGGAGAGGAGATGCTGTAAGCAAAGCAGAGATGCTGTAAGCAAAGTGGTCGCTCTGCTCAGGGTGATGCTGGGTGGTGGTTCTTGCAGAGGCCACACTGAGAAGCAGAAACAGTGCCAGCCACACTCATGGCCCCTGAGAAAGGTGGTGTTAGCAGCACAGAGGGGAGATCAAGGAGCTCCTGTGGGAGAGTGTTTCAAAAAACAGTGTGGCAAGTTTCTAACTTATGAGGTTGCCATTTTATTTATTCACTTATTTTGTTTTTTCAGACAGGGTCTTGCTCTGTTGCCCAGGCTGGAGTGCAGTGGCATAATCTCAGCTCAATGCAACCTCTGTCTCCCAGGTTCAAGAGATTCTCAGTCTCAGCCTCCCGAGGAGGAAGGATTACAATTGTGCACCAACACGGCTGGCTAATTTTTGTATTTTTAGTAGAGACAAGGTTTTGCCGTGTTGGCCAGGCTGGTCTCGAACTCTTGACCTCAAGTGATCCTCCTGCTATGACCTCCTAAAGTGCTAAGATTATAGGCGTGAACCACTGCTCTCAGCTGCCACTTGTTTTATATATTTATTTTTTTAAAAGCATTTTCCTGCTTAAAAAAAAAAATGCATGTCAGTTGAACTAAACCAGTTCTTTCTGAATTTATCCTTCTTTATGAATTTTGAAGAAATAATCATGGGCTGGTAAGGATGTTCCCCATGGCATGACTTATCTCAATACATGGCATTTATTTGGGCAAACACACAGTGCTACAACTCTGCACCCTTTCAATGCCATGAAAAGAAAATATTTAAAGGCTTGAAAGTCATTCAGACTATGTTCATAACCGAAAAAAGACATGTAGGGTATAATTGTGTTTTTGTTTTAAAAAACAAAAAAAATATATTACACTCACGGAAAAAAATTAGAATAATATACCAAAAATTGTGGTTTTTCTGGGAAGAAGAATTAGAATTATAAATGTCTTAGATTTTTCTTCTTTCTTCATTTTTATGAATTTCCTACCAAAAGTGTGTATTACTATGAAATTAGAAAAAAACTTGTCCTGTTTTTTGAAGGACAAGCCAGAAGGAGGCTGCGGTGGAGGCGGGGAGGTGGGAAGGGTTCTGTCCTGGAATTTGGCTGCATCTGGTGAAGCTCATTGTCTTCAAGGTTTTTTTGTTTTTTGTTTTTTTTTTTCATGTGAAAACACAGGAAGGCTATTTTCAGCGGATCTTTTGTCCTCAATCCAAAAAGTGTTTTTCTCCTCTAAGAAGGCAAAGTGCAGGTTCTGCCTGGTCCCCAGTGTGGAGCTGGCCCAGCGTGGAGGGCTTAACTGGACCAAGCTGCTGTGAGCAGCCGGCCACACTGCAGCTCCTGCTCACTCAGCCAGGAGAGGCTATGGGGACCCAAGCCTGGCTTGGGGAGAGACTGTCTGAGGTGGCTACACAGAGCCCAGGGCCCTGCTGGTGGCAGTGACACGGCTGAAAGGGGATTGCCACTCAATTAGGTCACAGGATTCTGCCCCCAGGGGTCCTGACTCTGTCAGAAGAGTTCACTGGAGTGTGACGAGGGATGCCTGTCATCAGGACCCAGCCTGGGCAGGGCCTTCTGTCAATGCCGCTCATAAAGCAGAGCAAACACTGGGCCACAGAGCTGGGACCTCATGAATGGGACAGGCACGACAGGTAAATGGTTTGTAATTGGATCCTCGCTGTCTTCTGGCACACTCATTTGGCGGTGGGTTGGTTCACAGTTGGAGAAACAGAAGAATTTTTCAGATGTTTGGGTGTTTCTGATAAGCTCTGACTTTCAGGTCAAGGCAGAGAGGTGACTTTGCAAACAGCTAGGCCGGAGCTCCTCGACACCTGTAACCTTTTCCAGAGTCACTTTGGAAGCCTAAGTGACCCCACCAAAGTGGAGCATTGCTCAAACATTCAAACTCACTTTTTGGAACAGCCTTCAAATCTCGATGCTCATTTGTTGACTGTTCTTATAATGGCTGATTTTCTCTTTCTTTGGAAGTAGACAGAAACCATCCGGAGCTGAGAGTGTGATGAAGAATACAACTGCCGATGGAGGGGCGTGGCCTTTTAGAGCATCCTGGGGGCTGTTCTGAGGGCCAAAAGGTTACTGGGTAGGAGACAGAATCTCCATTTGTAGTGGAGGTGACAGAGGCATGCAGAAATTCGAGGGCTTGTCATTTGGGCAGAAGATGACAGAGCCACAGTTCAGAGCCAGGACTGTGACTCTTAACCGCCCTTCAGTTCTGCTTGGAAGGGGAGGGAAGTCTCACAGATCCCATAGATGGCGCTCTGTTGGGGATGGCGTGCAGTGACTGGGTAGATGGGTTCTAGTCAGTCCCAGGGCGAACGCTGTTCCTGTCCTGTGCCGCAGGCTGATTCTGGGCATGTGGGGGCCTTTCTAAATCAAAGTACTCAGGAATGATCCGAACAGCTGTTTTCAAATGTCTAGATGCATGAAGATAAATCATAAGTGGACTAACTTTTTTGTATCTCATCTGAAAGTCCTGGTATTACTTTCCAGCTATTGTTTTCCATTTTCTGCTGAGATCACATCTTCTTCTGGGTTGGGAGATTTATATTTCCCTTCCAATAAGACAGCCCGCTATTTAAAAACAGGCCTATGTGGATGCAGTGTGAGCATAATCCATTTAGCACCTCCTTCCCCAGGGCTCTGTCCCCTCAGTGGGGACCAGTGGCTCCTGCATCCACCTAGAAGTTAGGCTGGTGTTTTTCTGCCTTTTATGACGTACTTAGACTTTACCTTTAATATATATTCAGATGTTGATCTTTTCATGGATTCAAAAAGGGCTTTTACCTTCTGGAGCCCCATCCATAAGGCGCAGTAAGCTAAATGCATGCTTCATGGCAGCAGAAAGGGTTTTATGTCCTTCATTAAATATTTTAAAATTTTTGCTGTAATAAACAGGTGGTTATTGTTACTATTTCTTTCTAGGAATTCTCTATTTCTTCTAGAATTAGAAGCCTTAAGAATTTTGTGTCGAAGTTTTCATAGTATTTCTTTTCTTCCCCTCTTTCTCTCTGTCTCTTGTTAGAAGGGACCAGCAAGAAAGACATAAAAAGGTCAGGATTGGTGCACACTCTTGTAAGGCTGTTAGGAAGAACAGGGCAGTTGTGGCCTGTTCCGAGGGGCAGTAGGGCAGTTTAGGGCCAGCTGTTGGATAAGCATGAGGCTTATCCAAGGCCCCTATATTGCTGTGGGCAAGGAAATAGTGATTCCAGGCATTTCTTTCTGTTTGGCAGAAAAATGGAAAGTTAGTATCATATCAGTTAGCCAAATTAGGGTGCAGGGAACACAATCATTACATCTGAGAGTATTCCTTTTGTGTTTAGAACCATTGCATTATCCCCAAACCCCAGACGTATATTTGACTGGGAAGCACGTCTCCTTGAGCTGTAGAAGTCACAAAACATTGACCTGCAGAGTTCCTGGCTGCGCCAGGTTCTGGTCATGGGTGACATTGGATGTGTGCTGAAAATGACTCCCCGTGGCTGGTGCTGTAGCAACAAGTCCACGAGCTTCCTGCTCATCTCTTCTCTGGCAATCCATGGGCTTCCCACCAGGCTCTGCTAACATCCCCTTCTCTTCTGCCTTCCACTTATCCCCCCAACCCCGAGTTGTGCAGAAATCTGTTCTTTCTTGTTTTAATATTTTGAAAAAGAAAGCAGTGGCATTTTCTAAGACAGGGATTGTTGGCTGATTTACTCATGCTAGGAATCAAACCCTTCTTAAAAAGCTGCCTTCTCTGCATGGTGGGTTTTAGATACTTGGACCGACAAAGCTGGCGTTGTTTTGAGAGGGTTAACTAAGATTAATGAGGAAAGAAACGTGAAGCCATAAAGGATCAGCATTTCCAATCAATGATGGAATAAATTTAATGTGTATTCCATCTGCAGTTTCCTTGGCACAAATGTCCAGATGCCAATTCCAAAAGGTTTTGCCTTTTTATGCTTCTAAGTAACCTACTAAGACAAGAACAGTGCATACTTCAAGTGTAATAGTGCTTTATTTAAGGTTTATACTGCAGTCGATGTATTGATCAAGAGGAATTTGTAGAATACAGAGGCGTGTTTTAATAAG